ATATATACACGCACAACTATGCAACCGTGATAATCATAAGAAAAACTGCTTTTGTTGAAGCCCTTGTGTTTATTTCCTTAAAAAGAAATATAATATAGGGAAGGACGAGTAGATAAGCAAACAGTAATTGATGAAAATAAGTACTACTCATCATCAACATAACTAGGTTAGGAAAACTGAAGACAATAAAAGCTCATTATTGTTCTGTGCATGGAGATAGGTGGTAGAAAACTTTGTTTGACGTAGGTGTCGTGTTAGTTGCCATTCATTAGGAAAAAAAGGGTTTGGAATCCTAAGGAAATTGATTCACTTTATTTGGGATTCGAATCCGCGAGTGTTAAAAATAACACGAAACTTCTATCAAGTAAAGTTTACTCTACAGACTGGTTCAACCCATCTTAGCGTGGAGCACGCGATGTCACTGTTCTCACATTTTTCGGAGTTGAAATAAACTAGAAACAAGGAGAAAATAAAGGGAAGTAGGAAAGTCATAGGTTTTTCTTGACATAAAAATAAAATAAACACTAACTTAGTGTCTACTTTGTGTTCAATTGTTGTATATCATGCGTATTCAATGAAATGTGGTTTTTTTGAAGATTTATTGAAAAGTGACTAGATATGGATGGAGAGAAGGGATTATTGGGTTAGTAAACTATTGAGGTTTATAATTTAAAACAATGTTGTTTATTCAGAGATGGATAGTGGCTGGCAGTGGAATCCAGGACGCACGTTTCGTCCTATTTGGACTCAGTAGCTAGGTGGATAGCGCGATGGCATTTGGAGCGAACAGTATTAGGTTCTAGTCCCGAAGTGAACATCAACTCTGCGATGCAGGTACATCCAGCTGGAGAGTCCTAAATAGGACGAAACGTGCGTCCGGGATTTCACTGCTAGCCACTATCTATCTCTTAATAAACAACATTGTTTTAAATTATAAACCTCAATAGTTTACTAACCCAATAATCCCTTCTCTCCATCCATATCTAGTCACTTTTCAATAAATCTTCAAAAAAACCACATTTCATTGAATACGCATGATATACAACAATTGAACACAAAGTAGACACTAAGTTAGTGTTTATTTTATTTTTATGTCAAGAAAAACCTATGACTTTCCTACTTCCCTTTATTTTCTCCTTGTTTCTAGTATATTTCAACTCCGAAAAATGTGAGAACAGTAAGTACATGTGTGTACGTGTGTCTGATATGATACGTATTTTTCAGACTTTATTTCGTATTAAAACAACACAGGATATCTTTTTAGTTATGATATGTAATTAATTTTTAAAAAAGTCGATTTTCTAAGAAAAAAAAGGCGGCATGAGAACAGATATTACTGGATTTCGTGTACAATTGAAATATCGTAATGAATAGCCATATTCTTTTAGAATAAAATTTTAGATGATCACCCTAATTCGAGGACATATATAGAAGAAATTCTAAAGTTTTATTAAAGGTTGTGTTAGTGGGACTCTATGTCTGATATGACATGGGGTTAGGAAATATAAGCAATAGTATACAGATAGAAGTGCAGTTTCAGTAGACGGAAGACGATAAACTAATGATGTAGCTAGTGATGAAGGGTTAATGACAACAAAATGAAATTGGAGATTCAGAAACGACAGTAGTGACTCAAACAGTCTACTAGTGTGTTAAGGATTGTCATTCCACAGCAGTAGAAATTCCAGTACAATATTTCTTCAAAAATCTAAAAGCAACTAATGACCTCGCTGATTTTTGAGCAAAACAGATAAACCCCGTTAGATCAGTCATAAGTGAAGATGGCTGTGCAACATTTAAGATCTAACGTGGTTGTTTTTTTTCTTACACACAATGACTGCATATATTATATACTTCAAATGATAATGAATTAAATACTGAAGATGATGATCAGTTGCATTATTTCGATCAACAAACACGAAGACAAAGTGGAGAGTGTTCTGATCACTTTAACCAACAATGCTGAGATGTTTGGGATGCGGTTCGCCCTCTCCAAATATAAAATGTTGCAAAGAGCAAGAACAAAGATTCTAGCAGAATAGCATGAATTCATTTTATTTCGTAGGTTCTCCTCAGCTGCTTACAACCTGTGATATTTAAAAATCATAATTACATAATGGGTTTAAACTGCTTACTGAATACTGTAAATACATACCTAATGTGAAAGAATATTCTACAACAATAATTGTGACAACAGTTCAAAAGTGGGTTAGAAACAATTGATTACATAATGAATAAACATTGATGGGAATATAGTGAGTAGAGTTCAGTTGAAGGATAGTTGAAAAATAAAATAAAATCAATGATCCAATGAATACAAAAGGAAAAAAGAAAAAATTTTCAAGGTGTAGTGAAGGAATATTTGTCACCAGGGCAAGGAAAGATTAACCACCGTCTCCTTTTGAATACATAGGTCAGGTTTTTGATGCCTGATGGCAACGGCTTCAGCAAACTTCAGAAGACTGGAGTTTGGTTGCTTACTAATCACCCTAAAGGATTGTAAGGTATCTACCTGATGTCCTGTATCAAGGAGATGTTTGGTGATTGCACTGTTCAGAGTCTTTCTTTCCTTTGTTCTAAGACTTTTTGGAACATGTTCAAAAAATCTAAGATATGCTCTCCTTTCAATTCGGCCGATGTAGCTGCTTTGGTAGGTACACGTAAATTTATAAATACAGTTGGCGTTAACATGAAAGGGTTGCTTGTCGATCTTTGATTGGGTTATTGAACATGTTGTTTTATAGAGAGTTAAGAGTATAGCAGCCGGATAAGTTCTGGCTAGAGTAGTGTTCAGTCTTCTGTTGATTATTTGTGCTATGTTATCACCTTTAAAGTTAAGATTTATATATACTGGCCTCTTATTGACCGTAGTTATTTCCATTTTGTTTTCTTTGGGCTTTTTATATTTGTTAACAAACTTTTGTGGATAAAAGTTGTCTTTTAGACATTTTTCTACGTTCATTATTTCTTCTTCCAGTTTGTCGGTGGTACATATCTTTTCTACCTTGTAAAATAGTGTTTTAACCAATGCCTTCTTGTAACTAATTGGACAAAAACTATTGAAATTCAGGTAGAGGCCATTCCAATTACTTGTTCTATAAACTGAACGCTGAATTGTCCCGTCTCCCTTGCGTTTTATGGCAACATCAAGAAAATGGAACATGTTGTTCTGTTCGTGCTCCATAGTAAAATGTATGTTAGTGTGAGCGTTTTTGAAAAGTTTTAGCAGGCGGATTGCATGCTGTTTATTGTTACAGATAATAAATGTGTTGTCCACATATCTGGAGTATTCCGTTGTTTCACTAATTGCCTGTTTAGGTACCGTGTTTTCAAGATACCCCATAAAAATATCTGCCATAATTGGACCTAGTGGGCTTCCCATTGCTACGCCATCGATTTGGCGATATATGGTGTTATTGAACTGGAATTGAACATTTGTTGTGCACATCAGTAGTAATTTTTTTCTGGATTCTGGGGCTGGTAAAGGTAGGAGATCATCATTCTGACAAATTATATCAATAGTTTCAAAAAATGGTATATTAGTGAACAAGGATGTTACATCAAAAGAGACCATGAAATTGTCGGTAACATTCGTATGATTCAGAGAACTCCTAAAAAAGAAAATGACTGATAATTCTACTTACAACGATCGAAGACCACGCGGTTCACGTCTACCGCATATGTACGGTTTACCAAAAGTTCACAAACATGACGTTCCCCTTAGACCTATCCTATCAATGATCAACTCACCGTATCATAAAGTTGCACGCTGGCTAGCAGTAAAACTAGAACCGGTTCGTCGTAGATTAGCAACATATACGCTAAGAGATTCATTCCAGTTTGCTGATAGACTAAATCATACGAATGTTACCGACAATTTCATGGTCTCTTTTGATGTAACATCCTTGTTCACTAATATACCACTTTTTGAAACTATTGATATAATTTGTCAGAATGATGATCTCCTACCTTTACCAGCCCCAGAATCCAGAAAAAAATTACTACTGATGTGCACAACAAATGTTCAATTCCAGTTCAATAACACCATATATCGCCAAATCGATGGCGTAGCAATGGGAAGCCCACTAGGTCCAATTATGGCAGATATTTTTATGGGGTATCTTGAAAACACGGTACTTAAACAGGCAATTAGTGAAACAACGGAATACTCCAGATATGTGGACAACACATTTATTATCTGTAACAATAAACAGCATGCAATCCGCCTGCTAAAACTTTTCAAAAACGCTCACACTAACATACATTTTACTATGGAGCACGAACAGAACAACATGTTCCATTTTCTTGATGTTGCCATAAAACGCAAGGGAGACGGGACAATTCAGCGTTCAGTTTATAGAACAAGTAATTGGAATGGCCTCTACCTGAATTTCAATAGTTTTTGTCCAATTAGTTACAAGAAGGCATTGGTTAAAACACTATTTTACAAGATAGAAAAGATATGTACCACCGACAAACTGGAAGAAGAAATAATGAACGTAGAAAAATGTCTAAAAGACAACTTTTATCCACAAAAGTTTGTTAACAAATATAAAAAGCCCAAAGAAAACAAAATGGAAATAACTACGGTCAATAAGAGGCCAGTATATATAAATCTTAACTTTAAAGGTGATAACATAGCACAAATAATCAACAGAAGACTGAACACTACTCTAGCCAGAACTTATCCGGCTGCTATACTCTTAACTCTCTATAAAACAACATGTTCAATAACCCAATCAAAGATCGACAAGCAACCCTTTCATGTTACCGCCAACTGTATTTATAAATTTACGTGTACCTACCAAAGCAGCTACATCGGCCGAATTGAAAGGAGAGCATATCTTAGATTTTTTGAACATGTTCCAAAAAGTCCTAGAACAAAGGAAAGAAAGACTCTGAACAGTGCAATCACCAAACATCTCCTTGATACAGGACATCAGGTAGATACCTTACAATCCTTTAGGGTGATTAGTAAGCAACCAAACTCCAGTCTTCTGAAGTTTGCTGAAGCCGTTGCCATCAGGCATCAAAAACCTGACCTATGTATTCAAAAGGAGACGGTGGTTAATCTTTCCTTGCCCTGGTGACAAATATTCCTTCACTGCACCTTAAAAATTTTTTTCTTTTTTCCTTTTGTATTCATTGCATCATTGATTTTATTTTATTTTTCAACTATCCTTCAACTGAACTCTACTCACTATATTCCCATCAATGTTTATTCATTATGTAATCAATTGTTTCTAACCCACTTTTGAACTGTTGTCACAATTATTGTTGTAGAATATTCTTTCACATTAGGTATGTATTTACAGTATTCAGTAAGCAGTTTAAACCCATTATGTAATTATGATTTTTAAATATCACAGGTTGTAAGCAGCTGAGGAGAACCTACGAAATAAAATGAATTCATGCTATTCTGCTAGAATCTTTGTTCTTGCTCTTTTTAAAATGATAAAGGGAACTATATGTATGTAAAATGTTGCCTTAGGATTGGCTTGGCTCAGTGTGTGAACTGATAATAGGTAGTGTAGGGGACGGTAGATCCCTAGAAATCACTTGGTAAACTTATCATTTTTGCGATTTTATTATGGAAATTTGAATTCCTCATCTTCGTTCAAAAAGCGCCCACTTTTTACCTTCGATTTGTGTTTCATATTCAGAAGCACTTTAAGTGTTATTGGTTGGTTCCCTCTTTTATTAAGCTGTTTTGTGACGTTTTTCAGGGTCATTTTTAGATTGTATATATATGCATGAGTTGTGTGCTTTTCGTTCGTTCTTCTGGGCTGCTTATAGAATATATATATTTCGCGGCTGAATTTGGTCTTCCCCCTCTAGTTAGTAGGAAGTGGAGTAATTGGATGCATCTACCGCTATATTTGTCATGAAAGTCTCGTCAGTCCTGATGGGTTAATATCTGATGAAATATCGGAACGGATTCAGAAGGCTCAGTTAACGTTCTTCAACTTACGTCACTTGCAGCATATGTGAGGTATCCTTCTTCTTTACTTTACAATGATGTAGGTGCATCCATTCTTTATCTTCCTTCAGGGTCTAAGCTTTGGAATCCCTCATATATTTTCTTGTTTCACTAATTTATATTTCCTTGAATAGTATGTTCGGTGCTTATTATTTTATATTACTGACGTTTTGGCCCGTAATGTAGTCTGAGTTTCTTCAGAAATTTCTTCCGCATTTCCTTCACGTTATGAGAAGACTACTAAATTAATCCATTCTCTTACTTTATTAATACAAAGTGGTCACATAGGCAGACATAATCAACACAGAGCCTGACAGACATGCACTGGCCCAGGCTACCATAACGCATTCGCACGAGATGAAAATAATGAAGGAGATCGAATTAATGTAGTAGCAACGGTGAGGAGAAAGACTTAATTGTGAGAATATGGTTTGAGAAGACACATTGGAAAGATATGTATGGAGGGATACTGGAATTCATACTCGAGAGGAAGATAAAGAGTGAAAGCGTTTGTGACATTACAATGATTTTTGAGCCACATCACCCTAAATAGACACAAAAATCTTCATCATGGTGTGTAAATAGAATCGCATTATTATAGAGATATGTTGACATAATTGAGAGATGAAAGACAACAAAATATTAGGGACAAGTAACAATCAACAAATGTTCACCGTTTATTTGATGATATGGCTCACGATCCATTGCAATGATACAGATACATTTACTTTCAGTTTTCTTTAAGATCTTGAATTTTTAAAATTATCTTATGTTTCTCTGTTCAACGAATTCCCTATGAATTGTAGCATCAAATCATCCATGTTTAATCTTTTCTATTAAAACTGATACTGCTACTACATTTACTACTCCGACATTGTCTTGATAGTTTTTTTCTCGCTGTGGTGATATAGTGTAGCAACTTGAACCGATAAACATATTTCACTGAGTCACATCCCATTAGCACAGAGGTAGTAACAGTGTTAGTGGTAACAGAAAAGATTAGACATTGGAGATACTGGCACATACATGACAGAAGATTCTAACAATTTAATTTGTGATAGGGTCGTTTATCAACTAAGATATCAACAAAATCCGATAATAAACAATAGATATTCATCAAAATGGCTTTGACTATTGATCAATAAATTTCCCTGTATGTAAGTAACCTATTTAGAATTATGATATTTAACTTCTTTGAATGTATAGAAAAGGGATTAAAAATGTACACTTTAATAAAGAATCAAACGTCTTCTAGGTGTATCAAGTTGATGAATAGGTTTTCAATCGATAAATTACCTATGAATATTACATGCAATAAGAAAAACGTTTATTTATACACTTATGTACGCACACATAAACATGTACATACATATGTACGTATAAACAAGTCTTTGAAAATAAACCCCACTCACTTGCCAAACAATAATCTCTGCGAGTACAGGTTGAGCAATGAATAATGAATGTATAAATGTACAAATTGTAATACGTATTTCACGAAGAATACTAATTTCTGATTCAAGTTTCTAAATAATGAAAGAAAGGATAATAAGAAAAATAAACAAGTAAATATACTGTAAATCAGAATAACAAATAAACAATTATAAGTATTCCACTTATTTATTATTTATTTAAACACATAAAGATTAGCACAAGGAGGCACCAAACATGTAATCCTCCGTATCCACCAACCCGGTTAAAGCGATAGCCATTCGTTTTTTTTGTCCTCTCAATTTCGTAGACAACACTGCCTCGAGAAGGCAGTGAGTAGGACTTCCCTGGTAGTGGTTGCATATGCATGGCCATGTGAGAACACTTAATGAGCATATTGTACAACACCAAGGCGTGTATATATGTGGGAGAGTTGCTGGTGCACACTTTATAATGATAGCCTAGTACAATATGCAAACGTAATACAAATAAGTCATTGATCTATATTTGTTGTGTTTCTGATTGGCTAAGACGGATCAACAGACTAACGTCATTCGAAAGTATAGTTGAGCATTATTCCAAGTATCAATTAACTGACTTCTTAAAACACAATGTAGACAAGAAAATGAATAGCTTATTATTATTATTAGTTCTATAACGCTGACAGAATAATTTAATTTGAAAATATCCTGTTAATAGTACTACTACTTCTATTAGTTAACCATATTATTGAGCAAATAATATAAATCGTTTTAAAATGTTGGTGGAGTTTCATTTTCTGAGCTGGATGGTATGATCGTGGAACTTCGGTTGCTCTTCTGAACGATATCACCAATACAATATTCAGGTAGAAATGAAGTATTCGAATTTCTTCACATATGATAAACAACTTTTCCTGTAGACCTCAATCTTAAATGGTTATTGTAGATCCTGCATTGTTCGCATCTTTATTTTGATTATTTTCCTAATCTGATTCCTAGACCTACAACATTCTATGATTTTTCTAATTGTTTGATAAATTGGATTGATTTCGATGTGCTTGTTGATTGTTAATTGACTTGAGTATCAAACTTCTAAAAATTCCCGTGTTCTTAGCATTTGCTCAATCTAAGATTTTAATACTTTTCTGGTCGAGTGTGCATCCACAGTTGTCCACACAGATCTATATCACGGCATTTGACCACCAGTTGATGTTCATTCAGGCAAAGATGAAAGGGTTGTCCACTTTGTTCGATGTAGTGTTCCTTGCAATTAGAACAGTTCAATTTCGTAGAAGATGCTTAGTTTTTCAACTTTTGTCATTGTATCCTTTGTTCTGCATAAGATCAACTGTGAAGTAATCATGATAGTTTATGCGCTACAGCCATTTTCAAACAACTTCAATAACCGTTTCCTTTTATAATTTCTTAAATGTCTTTTAAATATGGTAGGATGATCTGTTTGTTGGCTTCGTTTATTTGACTTCGTTTTCGCTGATGAGTTGGACTGATATTTTATTTTTGATAACGATCTGTAACACAATAGTTGATTATAACATAGTTTCTTTAGACCTCTCTTTTAATAAACAGTTAAAGGGTATTTAAAATTGATTGATCACTGGGTAGTAATCAATGTTACATATGTTATGTTAGTGGGTATCTCATGAAATACTATACCGATCTGTGCCTAACGTATTTTTCTTTGTTAAAATGTAAACCTGTCCATTGGTAAAAAAAATCATATTATACAGTCAAGATTATCAATGTGCTGGACCGTTATTGTACATATATATCTTATTATTGTCCCAATTTATTTGATTAAATTAGTCCACAAGAAGAGTTCAACAATATCTATAAGTACCAACTGCTAGCAGTTATCAACGTATATATGAAAACTGTCAATTGTTATTACATAAAAAACAAACAAACAAATTGAAAACAAAAAAAAACATAACAGAATAAAGAAATAATCCATTGAACATTGATTACCTTTTCATCTTCTGTTGGTAAACAATATTCTAGCAATAACTGAATAATAGTTGAATCTTGTGTTAATAACATGTTTGTACATAAACGTTCACATTCTTCATTATTAATTGGTACTACTGATTGAGGAGAAATATTTGTATTAGATTCATTGAATATTTGTGCAGAAGATAATGTATTAGAAGTAGAAACAGTTGTATTTACTGATGTAGACGTAGGAGAAGTAGTTATTGATGATGTTGTTAGGGCAACGGTAGATATGCTGTTAACCTGTTGTTGTTGTTGGCTAGAATCAGTAGAAATTAATTTGGAAGAACCAATAAATTTCGGATAGTTTGTGGTTGAACTAGATGTATCTTGATTTAACAAATCAGCATTAGTACTAGGAATAGGAGAACCAGATAATGGTGTTCCACTATTTGTTGAAGAAAGCATCATCATTGTTGCTGGCATAGACGTTGTTGATTGGGTATTATATACAGTTGAATTTGTGGTTGTTCCACGTATAGGTTGGACTCTGTCAACAAGTCTATGTGCCCAATATGATCTGGATGCTAATAAACTTGATTCCAATATACGTAGAAATAAACGAAGAAGTGACGGACATCTTGAGAAGAAAAAAATTTAAAGAAAAAGACATATAGACAGAACGATAAAACAGATCAGAATCCGTTCAACTTATTTAGCCAACATTGATAACAACTCACTGCAAATAATCTGACAGTAAGGTAGAGGATAAAAGTTTTATTCTCTTTGGGACTCATCGGTTGCACGTATTTGCTCAAGATAATGGTTATCTGAACTTCGTTCAGTATTCGACTTCAGCATAAAGTGTTTTAAACTTTCAACCTTAAGACCTCAGATACAGAGTACACAGTATTCTGATAAATAGTAAATGAGTTCTCAGTCAAATGTTATGCACTGGTTTGACCTCATTAATTAGATTTCCGATATTTAAATTCATTTCATACAACATTACAAACATAGACAGGCATTTCGTCCTGTCGGATGTACTTTCACTTCAGTATTCGTTTCGACGTCGAAACTCACTGTCCTTCGAATATCGGTTTAAACATCAATAGTGGGATGAAGATACTACACCCAATTAACGAGTCCCCAATGGAACAAAACAACCATCTTGACTACATGGTGAGTCATTTTCCAACTATACGACCTTCTTACAACCCTTTTGCCTGAGTATTTCATGGCCAATCTGAAAAGTACGGTACTTCAACCAATAATTAAGTCATATATGGATGATACTTTCATTATTTGTGAAGAAGACATGAACCTCAATGAAATTTTGGGTAGTTTCAATAACTGTCACTCCTCAATTCAATTCACTTTGGAAGCACAGGCAAACAACGAATTTCATTTTCTTGATTTCCGATTGGAAATAAGGCTGGATGGTTTTTTACAGGAGTATATATATAGGAAGCCAACCTGGAATTGGCAGTGCACGAATTTCCATAGTTGGGTCCCACCGAGTAGAAAGAGGAACTTAATTCACTCTTTATCCTCAAGGATCAGGCGAATATGTTCTACTGACACAATAGATGAGGAACTATTTCAATTTCGACAGACTCTCATTAGGAATGGTCATTCACCTAGATTCTTCGAAAGCGACTTAACACCTAGACATCATGAAAAATCACCGACAGTACGAAAGAAAACCCTTTTTATGAATATGGAACTTAAAGGAGACACGGCTGCTGAGAATCTTGAATAAACAGATCTCAAAATCCCTGAATAAAACGTTCTATTCAGCTAAGCTTCGTATTGTTTTCTCAAGCCGACCTACTATTCATGAATGTGTTAAGGATAAACTTCCGCTTTGGGCCACACCAATGTGCATCTATAAATTTACTTGCTCCTGTGGGGCAAGTTACATTGGTCGCACAAAGCGATCACTTTCCAAGCGCTCCGAAGGAGTCTTCTTTTAAAATATTCTACTTAATCAAAGGAACTGGATAAAAGGGAGGTCGAATAAAAAACTTATGCACTTCTGAAGCATTGGAGATCCACCAATTCAAGCTCGAACTTCCTTCCTTGGCCCTAATTCTCCTTTGTGGTATGTTTTGGTGTGATTTTTCAAATTAGTGTTTTGTAGTTTTAAACTGTGATCAGTTATTATTATCCTTTAATAATTTTTCAAAATATTATTCAGTTATTATTATTATGAATTTCGCGTTTTTCGTCTTTCTTCATATCTGTCAAATGGACGATTATCTTTCCTCATTCTGACCCGTAAATTATTTCCATCGTCCTATTCTCTTCTCTTATCCCTTGATTATTGCGTAGCCATATTTGATAATTGAAGTCTCGAATCAATTCATTATGCAATCTTTTCTATCCTTCTATAGAAATATATTTACCAAACGACTAAAAATTTTTTTACTCATCATAGGATTTTGAATAGACTATTTCGTTTTCCAATTTGCTTCTTTTTGTCACACGCAATATTAGATTCTTCAAGCACTAATGAATACAATAATTATGATGATGATCAGTTGCATAATTATGATAATGGTGCTTAATAAATTCACTTATCTATCTTCATTTAATATCTGATCATATTGAGAAAAATAAATGTATGATTGTATATTGAATATGATTATCATTTCTTGTCTATTTTCAAGCATTAATAAACAGAAGGCTACATCGTAGCGTTTAAACTGAAGGGTGAATACCCTTTACAGTTTCATAGGGTGGTGTGTTGAGTGTTTTTTTTTTTTTTACATCGTTTCATTTCATCATGATGCTTTTATCATTTTTCTAATCATTACAAACGTTTTATAGAGAGCTTCTGTTTGAACTGGTAGACAAGCAGCTTACAATGTACACACTTGATCTAATAACTAGTGTCAGTCAAACAATATCAAGTAGACAGAACTGAAATATTACAAATGTATAAGAGTTAGAAATGTAAACCACTGCATACCAGCTGAGTGATCTAAAGGTTAAGTGTTTATCACGAGACCTGAACGTTCTGTGTTCGATTCCTAGTGAAGTATGTGTATACACAGAGTTAAGGAGTTACATACTAGAACAAAACAACTCTCTAGTACTTTTCAGTTCTCAAGGTCTATCTAACTTAGATTAGTCCATGATAAAAACTACAAAAAGGATTTAAACCGTTTTATACATGAAACATGAATCCACAAAAACATTTTAGATAAAATAATCAGTCAATTTTAGTCTAATCTACAGAACAGTGTATACATGATAAAGATTTTAAAACCTATCTAATAGGACTGCTTATATACGTGTAAGCGAAAAGAAAATTTATTACTTGATTACGAAAAACTTGTGGTCATAATCCATTTAAATTGAAAAGAAATCAAACCATTAGAATAAATATTGTTTTCGTGAAGAATGAGTATTTAAAGACTCCATAAGATCTCTATGGATTACTGGACCATTGTTTCATTTAAACAATAAAAATACGAGTTATTTCATAATGTAAAATAAATCTCATGTGAAATAGTATTCAGATTCTTCCCGAAACTCCCGCCGACGACCTCGGAGACGTCGTATTCTTATTAGTTCACATTTAATTTTAATTATGGAAAGTGAGAAATTGATGAATTGAGTCCATGTTTACTTGATAAATTTAACCAAGCAATTCATTGATGATAAAATGGATATACAACATTAATATTTTTAAAAGACAAAATTTATATTGATTCAGACGAGATAGAATACAGATTCAACCATTAGAAATTTAAAACGCCCAGTCATACTAAGCTGTAGCAATATTAAAACATGAGATTGTTGAATATAGATTTCAATAAAAAAGACTATGTACAAGTTCTTATGTTTACTTAACTAAACAGACAAATTTACCATTTCATTGAAATCATAAACCGATCTGAGTTAGATCACCATTTAATACCTGGAAGCACTGGACAGCCGTTCTGTTCTAGTATAAAACTTATCAGTAGTGCGAATTCACGATCCTGCATAAGACTCGAACTAGGGACCTTCATTTTGACGTGCGAAAGCCTAACTTCTAGACAACTGAGCCATCATCCTATGGTGTTAATATCTAACTTCAATGAATTCATAACATTCAGATGATATCTTCCATTGTTTTCGGTGGGTAACTGTCTCACATCTGACACGGTTTAGCTACACTGATCACTGTTGTTTTCCAGAATAATCATGAAAGGGCTGAACGACGCCAAGAGCATCCATTTAAGTGATAAATAGCTTTACAAACTGTTATTGCATCTGAAATGACTATTATAAAGTAAGTACCGCTACCAAGAATTAACTTAGTAGTATCAAACAAGTTGAGAACTGGGTAAATTGTTAATAGTAATAAACTGATAAAATATTTTTAAATTTTAAGTCACGAGTCGAAATTAGCTAAACAATCACTGAAAGTCTGGGAGCGTACGAAATAAAAGACCTTGGCTTAGAACCTAGCTCGTGTATACGCACTGCTGAAGAGTCCTATATTATATGATGAAACACATATTCAATGCTTTCAGGATTTCAACGGTTTTCTGATTTGGATCAATTCGTGGTCTTAATATAAAAAAAACAAACAACAAGGCTAATTAAACAGATTGTAGAACAAAACTATGCCACTCTCCATCCAAAAAAAGACGCACACCTATCTTGATTATGATTATTAATACTTTCACAGATTGAAATCATGAGTCAGTTGAAGCTAGACCACCATTGAAAACCTGGGAGCACTGGACGGCCGTTTCGTCCTAGTATGGGACTCCTCGGCAGTGCGCATCCACGATCCCCCACCACCCGGGGCTCGAACCCAGGACCTACTGGCTTCGCGCGCGAGCACTTAACCACTAGACCACTGAGCCGGCATCCAACGGTGTTAATGTCTAACTTCAACCAATCCACGAAGTTGCGCCACCGTACACCATTGTCTTCAGTGAGTTCCTATCTCACAACAGACCTGGTTGAACTCCACTGGTAACGGCTTCTCACTAGAACTCCAGGAGTTTTTCCTGAAGTCAGTCACTAGTGAGCAGTTGATTATTATCAGAATGGGTTTTGTGGAGATTTTAGAAATTTCACAGATTGAAATCATGAGTAAGTTGAAGCTAGGACGAAACGGCCGTCCAGTGCTTCCAGGTTTTCAATGGTGGTCTAGCTTCAACTGACTCATGATTTCAATCTGTGAAATTTCTAAAATCTCCACAAAACCCATTCTGATATTAATACTTTGTTTTATTTTATTCCACTAAAATTAAGTTTCAAGAAAACATTCGTTTTAAAAGTTCGAAAACGGTGTACAAAAAGCCACCCGATTCTGTTTCTCCCCTCCCCCCAGAACGCCACTATTTTCTTAAACATTAAAAAACAACAAACAATGTATGTGTGTAAATGCGCATAATACACGTTTGTTTTTCTTTCACAGATCTCTATTAAATTTTTGTATCTACCAATCAGAAACTAGAGCCAATCAGTTGTTTTAACTTAAAAAAAAAACACATCATCTAACCTTTTTTTTTTAAAAATTTATTTTAACCGACTGTTTCCCCAATTGTAATATCCAACAGAAATGACATATAGGCTAGTGTGTATGTGTTGTTGTTTTTTTTTTCAAAAATAAATTTGTGTCCATGTATG